CGGCGCCAGGTGGTTTCCCAGGGCGACCGGCTGCCCTTCCAGTGCACCGCTACCTACTTGGACAACAGCACCCGGATCCGGTGGTACCACAACCAGCAGCCGGTGCAGGAGGACGAGCAGACGGGAGTCATCGTGGAGGAGAGCCTGATCCATGACTGCACCTTCATCACCAGGTCAGGGGTGGGAATGGGGATGGAGGTGGGATGGGGATGGGGATGGGGATGGAGAGGGGATGGGGACAGGGATGGAGGTGGGATGGGGACGGGGATGGGAATGGGGATGGAGGTGGGATGGGGACGGGGATGGAGGTGGGATGGGTACGGGGATGGAGAGGGGATGGGGATGGGATGGGTACGGGGATGGAGAGGGGATGGGAACAGGGATGGAGGTGGGATGGGGACGGGGATGGAGAGGGGATGGGGATGGGATGGAGATGGGGTGGGACCAAAGATAGAGATGGGGACATTAATAGAGATGGGATGGGGACGGCGATGGAGGTGGGACTGGGACAGGGATGGGACCAAGGATAGAGATGGGGACATTAATAGAGATGGGATGGGGACAGGGTTGGAAATGGTGTGGGGATGGCAATGGTGACAAGATAGTGACGGGGACAGAGATGGGGACAAACACGGACACTTGTGGCCCCAGGGCTTGCTGGTTTGTGGGTAACAATTGCCATGGGTGGGATGGCAAATGCAGGCACCTCCTGAGCTTCGTGGTGTGTCCCCATGCCCCCACACCTGAGGCAGCACTGCTGTGGGCTACCACGGGGCAGACCCCCTGTGCCAGTCCCTCCCCTCTGCCCACAGCGAGCTCATCCTCTCCAACATCCACGTTTCCGCCAACGGCGAGTGGGAATGCGCCGTCTCCACCTCCCAGGGCAACGTCAGCAAGAAGGTGGAGATCGTGGTGCTGGAGACCTCCGCGTCCTATTGCCCTGCTGAGCGGGTCACCAACAACCGCGGGGACTTCAGGTAGGGCCGGGACGTGCGTGGTGCGTGCGGGGCCGGGGCTCGCCGCAGGTGCCCGGGTGTCTGGTAGCGATTAGTGTCCACGGGGAGCACCAGCGCCTTTGAAGGGCTTCCCGTGCCGGCGGCACAGCCCGGCTCCGGCAGCAGAGGTGTTGGAATTTCTCTGGCACGAGACGAAAGGCTCCAGGCGCCCGT